CTGGCCACAATTTTTAATATATATACATGTATTTGAAATATCTCAGGACCATAGTATCACAAAATTTGGGAAAAATGCATTAAGCACTGCTTCTCCAAGCATGAGTTTTAGTGGACCATAATCTTTTCTATCCTTTGGTTATAAAGGAAGTTGTTTTGCCATCGTAAGCAAGTCGAGAGAACTCAAAACCTCTGTATTGGCTCTTGAATTGGTCTCATCTGTGGTTCTACTCGGAACGCCCAATGTATGCCCTGACCAAGGAAAATAGGGCACATGCATTAAATAGCTTTTCCATAACAGAACTAACTTCTCTTCTACCCTCCTGCAGACCCTGGTGATCCAAGTGCCACAGTTTTCAGGAGGCAGTAAGGGATGTGGTGCTGGCAAATAAATAGTCCAACAGGGTGGCTCAGAGCTCCCTTGGTTATAGAGGAAAGAAAATAAGCTATTAGGTAACTGTAGAACTTTATCTCTTCAAAAATAATAGGTCAAATTTAGTCTCTCTGCAATTTTCTTCAGAGACTTAGGGATGCTCAAAATGGGGCTGGGTAGATGGCTTAGCAGTTAAGAGCACTGACTGCTCTTACAGAGGACCTGTGTCTGATTGCCAACACCCCCAGGGTGGCTCACAACCATCTTTAACACCAGTGCCAGAGGATTTAATGCCTTCTTCTGGCTTATATGAACAGTAAGTGTACAGCGGTGCATATATGTGTGTGTGTATATATATATATGTAGGTTCTATCATCCATCTATCTATCTATCTGTCTGTCTGTCTATCTATTTATCTATGTAGGCAAAACACACTTGCACACATACACACAACAACCTCCAAGAAAGAAAGTAAAAGAAATGGCCACCAAAACAAGAAACAAAAGAAAAACAAACAAAAATGCCATTAATCACTTTCTTCTATAGGATAGGTAAGATGACAGATAATAGACAGACAGATAGATTGAGGGATTGGTAGATTATTGAAGACCGATGGGGATACACATTATATATATATAATCAGCCTTAGATCACCTGCTGAGCAATATGAACACAGCACGATCTCTGTGTTCCTGTTTCCACATCTTGCAAGCCATATTGTCAAGGCTTACTTTTCCATTTTTCCAGCGTTATTCCAGTGTCCTTTGCTCTCCATTTTCTCCTCCTCCTCCTCCTCCTCCTCCTCCTCTTCCTTCTTCTCCTCCCCCCAGCATCTTTCTTCTACCCACTGTTGTCTTCCCTCCTCCCTACTTTCTTCTCCCTTCTCTGCCTCACTACACCTGTCTTTTCTACCTCCGCTCACCTGGTGTTCCACTAATCCTTTCTTTTCTCTTCTAATGCTTCAATACCTACAATTAGCACCCATGATGGAAGTTTGGACAAGATTCTGAGGTGAGGAGGGTGTCTGGGAAAGGCTTTGGGGTACAGGTATTGTAAAATATTCATATGTGAACACACTCAGGTTTTGTATAATTAAGATGCCTACAAAAACATATAAATAGGTACAGATTAAACTCAATGTGCCTTTAGCTGCTCATTAATTAAATGAAGTGAATGCTTATGATTTGTTTTATCACTTTTACATTAAGAAAATTTCTCAAATGGAGGATAATTACAGCAGAAGCCTAATTACATGCTAACAGACCATAGTCTTTCTGTTCTGATGCATTAATGATTTCTTTTGTGTTGTAATTGTTGTATTCATCAGGGCATGGTAAGTGTTTCCTTTGCAATAATCATGTGGAGGATGCAGCGTGCCAATGGGAGATGTGACACTGAAGAATGAGCCAAGGGTTTGAAAAGTGTTTTTGATATTTCTAGCTGAATTCACTGCAGCTTGGCTACCTACATTATGAAAAAATTTTAAAAGATTTTGAAGTAAGCTTTCTTGTTAGACGATCTTTGGATTGCCAGCCCACAACTAATGACATGGAGACTTAATATTAATTATGAAAGCTTGGCCTTGGCTTATCCTTTTTTTTTTTTTTTTTTTTTTTTTTTTTTACAACTAGCTCTTATAACTTAACCTGCTGGGTGGTGGTGGTGCACACCTTTAATCCCAGCATTTGGGAGGCAGAGCCAGGTGGATCTCTATGAGTTCGAGGCCAACCAGGGCTACAAAGTGAGTTCCAGGAAAGGCGCAAAGCTACACAGAGAAACCCTGTCTCAAAAAACCAAAAAAAAACCTACTTAAATTAACCTTTCTCTATTAATCTACATTCTGCTGCATGGCTTGGTTATCTCTGTTCTGTACTGTATGTCCAACTTCTTCAGTGTCTCTGGTGAAATCTGGTGCCTAGATTCCTCCTCCTCTTCTTCTCTCTCACCAGAAATCCTCCCTATCCTCTCCTACCTAGCTATTGGCCATATCAGCTCTTTATTAAACCAAACAGAAGGTGCCTTAGGCAGAGACACATCTTTACAGTGTACACAAGCATTGTGCAACAACACTTGGGACTCTCCTGTGAGTTATAGCAGAAAACATGTCCTTTGGAAATCATACCTTTCCTTCATTCTCTTGAATTGAAAATCACAAGAACACTTTCACTGAGTTACTGCAGATCACTGATCCACTAATTATTTTGTGATGATTTTCAAGTTTTAAAAAAATCCAATAATATTGTCATTTGGCACTGTAAATGAATGAAAATAAACTAAGTGCATCATGATTTATGTGCTCGACTATGGGTCAGAAGAACAAACCAGTAGCTAGCTATTGGTTGATCCAGATTCAGAAAGTGCGATTACACTCACGATGAATGCTTGAGGTCTAAAAGAAATTATGAGTAAATATGAATGTAGGTGCCTTGTGAAACTGTGTATTTTAATTATAACTATTTTAAAACTTGAAAAGACAAGGGAGAACCAAAAGTAAAGCAGACTTAACGTTAAAATTCTTAGATGCACCCAGAAAAATGATGAATATTTGATGTATATAACACATGGGCCATTTCTGAAGTTCTCTTAAACAGGAGGTTTTTGTTATTGTTATTTTGGAGTAAAGAAAGTATGTAAACTAACTTTGTATCTTTGAAACCCTCCAGAACAGAGGTAGGGTTTGTCTCTATCAAAACTGTTAGGTTTCAAAAGCAGGACAAATAGCTGAGGCACCTATTTTACGTACCAAAGCTGACTGGCTGGCTGCTTCTCTTGTATTCTTGAGTGCCTACCTGTTACCGGACATCCTGGCTGGCATACCCCAACCCCTACCCTAACCTTCTCCAGCCCAGTGGCTGGGTTGCCCTTCCCTATAAAATCCAACCATTTTGGTTACCTGGTCCTTTTTAGAGTCATCTCTTTGGGCCTCCTGGCTGATGCACTTGGTTCCTCCCTCTTCCCTCTCCTTCCCTCCCCTTTTCCTCACATGGCTCAGGGTCACGTTCACTCTGGACTCTCCCAGCTGTCTCTGACTCTGGCCATGCTCTCCCACACGGCTGTAATAAGCCTTTTCCTCCACCACACCTAGGAGCATCCATGTCCTTTCCCCTTTTCTTTCTTTCTTTCTTTCTTTCTTTCTTTCTTTCTTTCTTTCTTTCTTTCTTTCTTTCTTTCTTTCTTTCTTTCTTTCTTTCTTT